GCTTTCATTAATCACACAGCTCTAGTGTGCAGGCTTGGAGAGTAAATGTGATGTGATCTGGCATGAAGCAGCAGTGCTGTGTGTGTGTGTGTGTGTGTGTGTTAGCTCACCTTCTCCACCCACATGCTGCCCACGTCGTCTCCGTCCCCGTAGGTCAGGTACATCTCGGCACACACCTTCTTCAGCTCTTCCCGCAGCGCCGTCATCTCCCCGCGCATGTACTGCACACCCGGGAACACGTCCGACAGCAGGCTGAACAGCAGAGGGATGTCCTCCGCCACCAGCTTCGGCACCATCGTCTCACACACACTCTGGATCAGGATCTGCACACGGACACAGGAGATTTATGAGCAGAGATGTGGACTACAGATCAGGGTTTCATTTAATGTGACTTCAGCTCCAGGGGCTAATCTCAGGCTAAACCTACAAACAAACGCATCCATTAGAGAAGATTTCAACCCTTAAAGGCAGATATTATACACAAATGACTACTGTGCAGGGTTTAACCCCAGCAGTGTGTGTGTGTGTGTGTGTGTGTGTGTGTGTGTGTGTGTATCTCCCGCAGCCTCTGATCGTGCAGATGAGTGAGTTGTGTTTGCTCTAATTAGACTTGATGCAGAAGCACTGTGATTGACATTCTCCTGCTGTACGTGTCATCAGAGAGGGAAAGCCCCGCCCACTAGTGTCCATCTCATTAGCATGTCCAGCAGGCCTGAGTGAGAAGCAGCCGTCTGTCCATTCGCCATTACAGTGTTTGAGCTGCTGAAGATGATGTCAGCATAGACTAAGAGCATTATAGATGTGGAGTTCTAGATGGAGCCGTTTATAAATGTGGAGCTGATGATGAAGAGGCGGAGCTACTCATGAAGGGGCGGAGCTATCGTGTGCTCCTCTCACCTCCTGCTCCGGAAGGTTCTCGGCGATCTCGTTCTCGTCCACATCCTCTCCGCGCTCACACTTCTCCCGCTTGATCTTCTGGATGCGCTCGCGCTTCACGTTCCCGGCGCTGATCAACACACTCTTCAGCGCACGCAGACCAAAGTCATAGTGGGACTGAGAGGAGAGCTGCTCGTCACACAACCTGCGCAAACACACACACACACACGGGATTTGTTTCACTATCTCAGTGAGGACATTACTTCTACTGTTTTTCTGTCAGGTTAATGATAGTGTCTATGGCCTACCCATAAGCCAACCCTCACAGAAGACACTGCACATCATCAGATACTGATAAACATCTTCTGGAGGGTGAGTGAGCACTTTTAATCAGTGACGAGCAGCGAAATGCCCACACTAATGGCTCGATTTGACTCTGTGAAGCCCTCATAAGTATAGCTAAACCAACACACACACACACACGCACGCACGCACGCACGCGCGCACGCGCACACGCACACGCACGCACGCACGCACGCACGCACGCACGCACGCACGCACACACACACACACACACACACACACACACACACACACAGCTCTACCCACTTGAAGAAGGGCACGATCTTCTTGGCGAGCGTCTCGGCGGTGCGGAAGCCCTGTGAGTACAGCATGACCTGCGCGATCAGCTGCCGGTCGGGTTTGGTCATGGCCAGGCTGCGGAACAGCTTCTTCAGGTTATCCGGCAGGTTGGAGCGTCCGGCGTATCCGGGGTTCATGGTGATGAAGATGGCCATCTCCGCACTCACCTTCACCTGCTTATTCAGCAGCTCGGTGGTGACGGGCACACCTGCACAACACACACGTGCAATCATTAACACGTCAACAACACGCAAGGACAGCACATCACATATTACTGAGCATGCTCATGCTGCGATGCTAACGGACCTAGCCTTCACCACTGAGGAGAACCCGGTCAAACAGCCTGATTTCCTCCTCAGTGTGTGACAGGAAAACAGCTCATGTAGAAATGCTTTCCAGACAAACTAAAACTCAACATGAAATCAGAATGTAGTCTGTTGTTTGATTTCTATGAAGTAACCCAAAGCCTTCAGTCAGACTTTAAACAGCAGCAGGTCCACAGTTACTCCAGCATCACGGTCAATGCCCACACTGAAATCAGATGAGCGAGACGAGGCGGTGACGGCCTTCTGCATCATCTGGGGGCCTGTCCTCATCCTCTAGGGGGCGCTGTGAGAGAAAGCTGTACTGTGTAGTGTGTGTGTGTGTGTGTGTGTGTGTGTGTGTGTGTGTGTGTGTGTGTGTGCTGTACGTACTGTGGTCTCGGTTGGGGTTGCTGTGTTCCCTCAGTGCCACCTGTATGAACTGCACCTGCTGGGACACAGCTGACAGCATGCGCTCCTCCAGCCGGTTGAACTCATCGAAGCAGCCCCACGCGCCCACCTGACAGAGACCCACGAATATACGACCCATCGCCTGCGGGAGAACACAGCGTCACACACTGCATCATTACACACGCGGCACTTCTGACCAGATCAAACACTGGTTTGGGTTAATCGATGAAGATTGTTTTACAGCACAGGTGTCAAACTCAGTTCCTGGAGGGCCGCAGCTCTGCACAGTTTACTTCAACCCTAATTAAACACACCTGATCAAACTAATTGAGTCCTTCAGGCTGGTTTGAAACCTACAGGTAAGTGTGTTGGAGCAGGGGTGGAACTAAACTGTGCAGGGCTTCGGCCCTCCAGGAATTGAGTTTGACACCCCTGTTTTACAGTATACGATGCTGACAATATTGCTGCTAAAGCCAGCGCACATTTCAGCATGACAACCGCGGCTGCACGAGACTGGAGATATCTGACACGGCCCTATTTGGTTTTGCTGTGATTATTTAATGACTATATGTCTAGCGGAGGATTTAGGGAGCTCTATTTGGAAAGATTTCATTCATTTAGATTTAGTGGGGTGATCAAGACTTCCTCGATGTAGTGCAGTTCTGCATTAACTATAATAAATGACACGCAAAAACAAACAAACAAACAAATAAATAAGCAGTGCTCTATGGTTTTCAGAAGAGTCTATCAGTGTTTATGCACAGAAATCAATCAATCAAATGCAAAATAACATGGTCATTGTGTGAATAATAAAATAATAATCAAAGGTAATAATACGCCAATCTTTTCATCTTCAGATCTTGACTGATGCAGATACACACGCTGCCATATCAATGCTGAAACTGTATATAGTTCAGGGGGTATTCCGGAAAGCAGGTTATGTCATACCCGGGTAAGATTAAGAGTAAGCAGGTGGAAAACCTCCGCTTTGGTTCCAAAAACAGCGGTAACATTTGGGTGTGTTAAACAGCCATCGCAGCTTCCTCTCTGAGGATAACCTGCTCTGCAGCAGCTGATGTTCGTCTGTTTCAGAGAGTTTACTGTGCTCTTGATCAGAGTTTTGATGGATATACGAGTTGTCATGGTGAGAGGGTTATAAGTACATCGGTTTTTGATATGGATATGTGATTGAGCGTTGTCATTTTTCAAAAGAATGGTAAATGTATTTAACAAACCTTTTCCAATCAGACGTGATAAACCGCGAGTCTGCGCTTACCATAGAAGACAGTGAGTGCAGCTCTGCGTTTTCACGTCATTTCAGAGTGAGGCACTAGCGTAGTGGACAGAACAGCAGAACTGCAGAGCTCACAGCGGAGCCAGTTCAGATCTCGCAGAGCATTCTTTGTTTCTCTCTCCCTCTCTCTGAGTGAGGTTTAAGGTCAAATAATTCAACCACTGATTCCTTTATTAATTATTATTTACTATTTGGTGGCCCAAAGCAGTTAGACAGGCCACAGCCTCCTTTCTATTAGCTACATGACAGAGAGAGTAATCTAGGCCAGCGGTTCTCAAACTGTGGTGCGTGTACCACTAGTGTTACGCGGGCTTCCTTCTAGTGGTACACGGAGGAATTAAATATGTCATGTACGTGCTACATATTTCAAAATTCATTGAAAATGATGTATATAATATGACATATATGACATATAGCCTATATTTCTGAGGTGATCTGCCATGTTTTTTTGACTGTGCAGAGCTGTAGCTGCTTTACTGGGCCTTTACTGTAGTTCAGTACGGCTCATTTTGGTGGTACTTGGAGAGACTATTTTTTACTTGATGAAAAACGTTTGAGAACCACTGATCTGGAGTGTTTAATACACGGCTCCAGTGACCAAATCTGATAATGATTCTGTTCAACTTTGACTATGGACAGAGATCTTCTAGCTCCAGCAGGATTACAGAAGTGTGACATATTTTTAAGCCTTATATAAGAGTCAATACACATTATTATTGTGGCATTAATGGCAGGGAAATTAAGGGCATGAATGGTCCCACAACATGCTCAAA